TATTTTATCAGATCAAAATTGCACATCAGCAGATTAATCAGCAGGCAGGAAGGTGCTGTAAATCAGAATTTGAACACAGTCACCTGTTGTAGAGCAAAGCTTTCATTGCCAGCTGGGATAAATTGAAAATCTCACCCATGTAAGCGAGGAGGGAGACCTTCAGAAAGAAATATTAGCCAGAAAGCAGTTTGCTGTTCATTCACTTTTACACCCTCCTTGCTGTCACAGTCAATCATTTTAAAATGCGAAGATTGGGCATTTGTAAGACAGCAAGGCTATCCAGGCACTATCATTTCCAATTGCAACGTTTGGGGAGGTGTAGCAGAATTTATGTTCAGGATTCTCAGCCTGTTTCTGTTGGGATGCTGGCAGGGGGATAATGCACACAGCCTCTCTATTTCACCAAAAGTGCCTCAGACTGCTGTCTAAAGCCTTCAGCACGTGAAGAGAAGCTAAATGAACCCCAAGACATCGCCTTAAGAAGTTTAAATGTCAGCAAAGATCATAACTGTGAGCATCTACAATTACCTGTGAGAGAGATGCCAAGGAGCCACCCAAACCACCTGGATACCCATTGCTTCCACATATCTCTCCCAGTTATGAATATTGCTGAAGACTTATTCTAGTTACACTCCAAGAGTTTATATTGCCATTCTTGACTCACCATCCCCTTCCAAGGATCCAGCCTGCTCCTCACTCCCGGATTGAAGCCAAGGGAAGCGTCCTCCTCCATTGCACACTGCAAGAAGTGCTTCTCTGAGGCTGTGATAAGATGAAAAAGAGAGGAAAAAATAAAAGGGAAGGAAAAAAAAAAAAAACAAACACACAAAAGAGAGGAGGGGAAAGGAAAGGAAAAAAAAAGAGGGGAGGAGGAAAGAGAAAAGGGAGGAGGGGATCACAAAGATCACATACTTTATAAATCGGAAAGTATATATATATATACATATATACCTTCACAGACCTTTTCTGTGCTCAAACACAGGCCTCAAAAGAGAACTTTATGAGAGCTCAGCTAAAGTTAAAGCACAGTGAGGAAGGAGAGATTGGTTCCTGGAGCAGAATGGGAGAACCAGGAGCACAGCTGAGCCACATCAGCCCCTTAGAGTGCTGCAGCTCCTTCCTGAAGCCATAAAGAAAATAAATACAAAATGCTAATCATAATAAAGAAACGAATAAATAAATAGAAGCTAAGGGGAATTGGGGAAGGAATCCGCAAAAAGAAAAGGCTAGAAGGAGAACGACCTCCCCTGCTATTAAATAGGTGGCGGTGGGTGTTGTAACTGCGTGGTGGGGTTGGAAGGGAACAGTGGAGACACGTTGCTCCCCTCCCCCCCATCCCCCTGCTCGGGGTGGAGGGCAGAAGGAGGTCAGGATGAGCACAAACCACTGGCTGAAGCAAAAGGGGCACAGAGATGGAGCCACACAGTTACATTTTCCAGCCAGCTGCATAGGATTTCAGTAATTCCTCCGGCTCTCCCCTTTCGAGAAAAAGATGACCCATACAGAAGCTAATTGCTTTAATAATCACTTAACGACTCGCTAAGTGCTCCCAACCCACCCATCTCCACCCCGGGACAGGTGCTGCTCCCACTCCCACCACGAGCTTTAGGTTTCACACCATAAGCAGAGCACTTGGTGCCAACACCCAACAGTTGCTAATTGACTCCAGGACACGCTGGGTTTGCTGAGGAGCTGATTCCTGGAGCAGGCAGTGGAATCTTTCAGACCTCTCCTCAAGTCTAGCCATCACTTTAGATCAGGCATCCCCACCATGCCTGCTAAATCATGGAGTCACTAAGGTTGGAAAAGACCTTTTAATATCCCCAAGCCTGACTCCAACCCATCCCACCATGCCCACTGACCACATCCCTCAGTGCAACATCTCCATGGTTCTGGAACACCCCCAGGCATGGGGACCCCACCGCTCTCTGGGCAGGCCTGTGCTTCAATATTCAACCTGAATAGATCCAAAAAGAATCATGGAATCATTGAAGTTGGAAAAGACCACAAAGATCATCATGGAATCGTAAGAATCATGAAGGTTGGAAAAGACCTCCAAGGTTGTCCAGTCCAACTGTCCACCTGCTACCAATATTTCCCTGCTAAGCCATGTCCGTTAGTGTAATATCTACGTGTTTCTTGAACACAAGTCCAGCCATCAACCCATTGCCCACTAAACACTCAGTGTCACAAATAGGGTCCTCTCTCCTCTTTACCCAGCCTGTGTCTCTCACTGGGGAAGAGCAGAAGCTTTGGGCAGAAATGGGGTGTCCCAGAGCTCACCAAACCTTCAGGACTGCAGAGAACGAGCACCTGGGTGCCCTGACCGAGTCCTGTTGGGCTCTGAGCATCTCCAGGTATGGAGACTTCACATCTCTGGGCAACTCGGTTCATCATGTGTCCTCCTCCCTAGAAAAAAAGAAGTATTTCTTATTTCAAAGGGGGAATTTCCTGTATTGAAATCCATGCCATGGAAGCTGACACACATCTGACACACAATCAGGGGAGATTCAGGCTGGACATGAGGAAGTATTACTTTTCAGAAAGGGTGGTCAGGCACTGGAATGGATGCCCAGGGAGGTGGTGGAGTCACCGACCCTGGGGGTGTTCAAGGAAAGGCTGGATGTTGTGTTGAGGGACATGGTTTAGTAGGAGCTATTGGGAATAGGTGAACGGTTGGACTGGATGATCTTTTAGGTCTTTTCCAACCTTGGTGATTCTATGATTCTATGATCTCCAGACTGGTGCAAAAAAAACCATTTATGGGGTCCCAGGACGTGATGTCACCCTGGGACCCCAAAGCAGCCACAAGCCCTTCAAGAAGAGATGCAGACAAGAGGCTGGGAGGTTCAACTCTTTTTACGACAGAAGTCTACAAAACAGCCACGTGGATTATTATTTTTTTTTTTATTATTTTTATTTTTTAAGATCACAAAATACACAACATTCATTTTAATATGCAACACATGATATTATATACATATTAAAAACCACATGACTGAAACACATGTTCACACGGCACCGATTTCATAAGGAAAAAAACCCCACAAGTGCTTTTTTTGTTTTCTTCTTTTAATATTAAAAACAACTGTGATAAAACATATTAATATTTTTCCAGACGATGTTTACAATAGAGAGAAAAAAAAAAATCATATTTTACTAAATAACAAATATTTAACAACAAAACTTTATACTAAATATCTATTTTGAATTATAACAAAAATAGTACTTATAATAGTTTATAAAGACAGACAAAAAATAATAATAATTGTGTATAAAATAACATTATAGCGAATTGGAACTGTGCTAAGAAAAAAAAAACACAACATAATTCTGAGATTCAAAGTGCTTTATTCTGCAAACCCACTGCAGCAACTTCTTTTTTAGTCAAGTTATATTAGTTAGGAATGGCAAAACAAAAGCCTGGCTTACTGATGCCTAGATTAATTACACACACACATTATATATACACATGGTGTAAGCATATATATATAATGGATGTATGCATCTGACATTACCACTCTCCAGTCAACCACTCACTCAAAAGCATGTTTGGTTTTTCACTTTGTAACTGGAAGTTCAAATCACAGTTGAACCAAACCCTCCACTGGCCGCCCTTCACTGAGTCCATCCCAAATTCACCCCAGACATCTCACCCATGGGAGCACGGCATGAAGCCACCGCTGAACCTCTGGCCCTTGTTGGCCGTCCCATCTCCATCTCTCCCATTTTTCCACCTCCTCTCTCCCCCAGCCACAGTTTCCCCCCCCTAGTATGTCTGGGGGACTCCTGGCTGTGGGTTCCTGGTGTGTTTCCATCCTGCATCCTCCACCTCCTGCCCCATCTCCATGCCCTACACGTGTTCATCATCAGCCAACACCATGGACCATGACGCTTGCATGCTGCAAACCTGTCTCTACACACTTGCCCACGGGAAACTCACCTATTCTCATTGCATTCAGGTTATGTTCTCCTTTGCTTCCTGTTGGGATTCTCATTGCAATTAAGCCCCTTTTATCTCTGGAAATGTTTTCTCTCCAATGCCTGAAGTCTCACTAGTGCCTAGCATTTCCCTTGGAGTTGCCATGTCACCAAACTGGCTGATCCTCCACTCCAGGGACACAGTGCCCAGGTGGCACATAACACTCAGACCTCCCTCTTGGGTTTGGCACATTGCTTACCGACTAGAAGGCAAGACCCAGACCTCAATGGCATCCTTTAGAGGACTGGGAGCTTTACATGGGGTGAAATCCACCTGAAAATCAAGTTGTGCTCCCTGGTGTGAGTGGAGACCATCCGTTGGGGTGCTCTTGGGGGTTTCTGGCAGCTTGGCTGACCCAACCTCAAGTGCTTCCCCCAGCTAAAACTCTGCCTCCCTGCTCCTCACCCCACCAGATGACGATGGCAGAGGCAGCCATCATCACTGCTCACCCACACATCCTTTGACCTTCCAACGAGGCACCCACTCATCAAGAGCACAACCTGCAAAGCAACCTGGTAAGCGACATCTGCCCCCTCATCCTTCCCATTTCAGCCCCTTCGACTTATCTGGACACCTTTAAAGCCAAAAGCCAAGCTGCCCACCCCAACATGAGATCTTTCCCTACCACCCCACGGTCCTCATCCTTACCTCATCCTCTAGGGTAGGAGATGGGAGAGAGAACAAGGCTGCTTGGATCTTCCCCGAGATGAAGGGCCTCCAGTCCCAATGGGATCTCCCAACCTGATGCTCAGGTTGAACCAAACACCAGCCTTTGCTCTGCACCTGCATGTGAGGCCACGTCTGCTTTCAACACAACCCGCCTGTCTCACGCAACACATGGAAGCCTTTCTCATGCCAGTAAAATAAATCAAATCAAACCAAATAAACCCACCCAGCATACGAAGCTCATGATACCTTGTGCTTCACATGCATTGGGCACAGCCCTTCTTTCCTTCCTGCAGAGCTCTCCCGTCGCCAACCAAAACCCAGACACGAGACAAATGATGCGGACGGTGGCTTATTGATAGAGATCACCTTTAATGCAAAAATGCCTCCGGTGGAAGAGGGTGCACCCAAACAGAACAGCTCAGTGCACACAGAGCTGCAGCAGATCGTGGAGGTGCCCACACCCTGAGGGAGAGCAAAGGCACCAAAATGCCCCCAAAGGGATGCCTCTGCGTGGGGAAGGGGGAGCGGTGCACACAGGATGTGTAGCAGCAGCAGGAAACTCAAGGAGAAAAAAAAAAAAAAAGAAGCTCCCTCCACCCCAAACCACACTCATCTGAGGCTTTGGAGAGACGGCTCAGCCTCAGACGAGGCACCACAGGGTTTTTTGGTCCCTCGGTGGAGGCGAAAGGGCAGCACTCCCCCAAACCTGCCCAAATGGGTGGGATGGGAACGGGCATCGCTCGTCTCCCCTTCGCCCAGGGCAGCCCCCAGAGCCCCGAAATAATAATAATAAAAAAAAAAAACAAATACAACCAAACAAACGAACGACAACAACAACAACAAAAATAAAACACTGTTATCACCAGCTAATTTAACACTGTTAAAAACAAGCTTGGCGGGCCACGCTGGGCCACCAGACCACTGGCTGCCAGCTGGTTCTCAAAGCCTTTCCCACCATCGGGGCTTTGCAGCGCTCTTCCTGGCAGCAGAAGTGTTTTATAGATATTTATATATATATATTTATAATATTTAGATACTGTGTATGGTCAGACAGTCCCAGTTCTACTCGGGATTCACAACTCTTCCTCTTTCTGGAGGAAGCGAGAGGCACGATGCCACCCCAAGCTCCTCCATGCCCGGAGCAGAAGGATTTTGGCAGCTTTGCCGGTGGAGGAAACAGTCCCAACCTGGAGGCTCTGCCAAGTGAGCGTCGTGGAGAAGCTCCTCATTCCTCTCCCCTCCTGTTCATCTCCCTGTCCCCACCCCACCCCTCCATCCCCAGCCGCCCATCCCTGGTGGGCTCTACACAGTGGCCCCCAACATGACGTCCGTCCCCGTCAGGATCTCGTTCTGGTTGGAATCCAGTCCGAAGAATTTAACCTTGAGTCCGTCGACTGGGTGGACCACGGGCACCAAGGTGATTTTGGGGAAAGTCCTGGTGGCCAACTCGAAGCGGCTGGTGCTGGCCAGCTCGATGGCCAAGGCCTTGAGGAAGAGCTTGGCCAAGTGTTTGCCCAGACAGGTCCGTACACCCCCTCCAAAGGGGAGGTAGTGGAACCTGCCCTCCTTGTCCTCGCTGCGGCCCTGCCCGAAGCGGTCGGGGTCGAAGACGTCCACATCCTTAAAGACAGGGGCGGTGTCATGGGTGTCCCGGATGCTGTACATCACGCTCCAGCCCTTGGGGATCTGGAAACCCTATGGAGGGGAGGGGAGAAGGGAAGAGAAGAGCAGAGAGGGTCAACAGGGAGAGGGAGCAGGAGGATAGCTTTAGAATTGTAGAACCATTAAGGTTGGAAAATACCTCTAAAATCACCAAGTCCAAGCCCAAGCCATCTCCACTGTGCCCACTGACCACATCCCTCAGTGCCACATCTCCACAGTTCTGGAACATTTCTGGGGATGGTGACCCCACCATTCCCTGAGCTGTGCCAGTGGCTGTCCACTCTTTCAGAGTAGAAATTTCTCCTAATACCCAACCTGACCCTTCCCTTGCACAACTTGAGGCCATGATGCTGTTCTCGTTCTCGTCCTGTTCTCGTCCTATTGCTGTTACCTGGGAGCAGAGGCTGACCCCCACTTCGCTCCAACCTCCTTTCAGACAGCCATAAGGTCTCTCCTGAGAGTCTTGTTCTCCAGACTGAACCATCCCATTCTATTGGAAGCACCACGGCACTCCCCAGTTTGACATCCCAAGTGAGTATAATCCCTGTCCACTTTCTGAATCTGCACCAATTCCACCCGCCGCCACCATCGGAACCAAATTTATCATTCCCAGCCCTCCTCTAAACCAGTTCCAAGCACGCTTTGCAAAAGACACAACCACATGGCAATACTCACATCCAGCTCAAAGGTCTGCAGCACCGTCCGGTACCCTCCAGAGATGGGGGTGAAGAGTCGAAGCACCTCCTTGATGACACAGTCCAGGTAGTGAAGACCACTGATGTTGTCGAGGCGCAGGGAGCCCTCGCAGATGCAGCCGTTGTGAAGGATGCCTTTGCTGCGCAGCTCCTCCCGCAGCTTCTCCAGCACCCGCGGGTGTTTGAGCAGCTGCATGATGAGAGAGGTGCTGGCACTGGCTGTGGTGGCGTAGGCGGCGAAGATGAGCTCCAGGGTACCATCCTGAAAGGGGATAAGAGAAAACAGGTGAGGCTGGAAGGACATACAGACAGCCATAGTATGATGGAATAGGCATGTGGGCCGTAGCAAGCTGCCATGGGTCATTTTTGCCCCTGCATCCCAGGCAACAATGGACATTGGACATCAGAGAGCTGGAGCACCACTCCTATGAATAAAAGTTGATGGAATTGGGCTTGTTTAGCTTAGAGAAGAGAAGGCTCTGGGGAGACCTCATTGTGGCTTTCCAGTACTTGAAGGGAGTGTATAAACAGGAGGGGGAACAGCTGTTTACAAGGGTGGATGGTGATAGAACAAGGGGAATGGTTTTAAACTGCAACAGAGGAGGTTTAGGTTGGATATTAGGAGGAAGTTTTTCACCCAGAGGGTGGTGAAGCACTGGAACAGGTTGCCCAAGGAGGCTGTGGATGTCCCATCCCTGGAGGCATTCAAGGCCAGGCTGGACGTGGCTCTGGGCAGCCTGGTCTGCTGGTTGGGGACCCTGCACACAGCAGGGGGGTTGAAACCAGGTTGTCATCATGGCCCTTTTCAACCCAGGCCATTCTATGATTCTATGATTTGGTTCAGGACCAGAAGAGGCCAGGAGGATGCTCAAAGGCTAGAGCACTTCTGCTACGGGAACAGGCTGAGAGCAGGGGGGGTTCAGCCTGGGAATCATAGAATCATTGAGGTTGGAAAAGATCTCTAAGGTCACCAAGTCCAACTCCAACCCATCCCACTGTGCTCACTGGCTATGTCACTCAATGCCACATCTTCACTGTTTTTGAACACCTCCAGGGACGGTGACTCCACCACTCCCTGGGCAGCTGTGCCTGTGCCTGACCAAGCATTGGAAGAAAACAAGGCACCAGGGAGACCCCATTTCAGCCTTCCTGTACTTGAAGGGAGCTTATAAACAAGAGGGAAAGTGGCTTTTTACATAGTCTGATAGTGATAGGATAATGGGGAATGGTTTTAAGCTAAAAGAGAAGAGATTCGGGTTAGACGTTAAGAAGAAATTCCTTACTCAGAGAGCAAGGAAGCACAGGCTGCCCTGAGAGCTGTGGGTGCTCCATCCCTGTAGAAGCCCAAGGCCATGGATGGAGGTCTGGGCAGACTGAGGTGATGGGCAGTAATCAGCCCATGGCAGGGGATGGGGCTGAGTGGGCTTCAAGGCCCCTTCAAACCCCAAATATTCTGTGATTCTGTGACTCTAAAATAAGTGATGATGCTGTGAGTGCTGCAAATAATAAGCCGTCAAGGACTCATACACATAAAGAGGGGACTGCACAGGTAGAGAGGTGAGGTTGGTCAGGGCTGAAAGCTTCAGCAAGCTTATACGTTCTTTTGGTATTTGCTGGCAGTGCTTTTAATAAGGGATGAGCATAATCTGCAAATAAATACAGCCTGTAGAAAAGCAACTGGCTCGTTGGCACCACCAGGGCGTGGGATCTACAAACACAGTGGGGACCCCCAGGTCTGAAAACCCATCCCAGCTCTGCCCCCTAAAACCCCCCATACACCAGCTTTGCTGTTGGGGAAGCCCCCAGGTGGCCATGGGAAGATCTTTACCTTCAGCTCCTGCATGGTGAGCTCCTTGCCGTGTTCTTTGCCGCTCTCTATCAGGATATCCAGCGCGTCGGCATAGTCCTTACCCTGTGTGTTCTGCAGTTTCTCCTGGATGGCTTTCTCCAGCCCCTTCTGCAGTGTCTCACGTGCCCGGATGCCCTGTGGAGCAGGAACCATCAGACCTTGTAGGGCTCAACACCATCACCGCCATTCCCACCCTGTATATCTCCAGCATACACAGAGAAGGAGATGTGCTCAAGCAGGATGCGGCTACGGAATCAATCTGCTGTTGCAAGTGCTCAGACAGGAGTACAAAAATGCTGGAGTCATTCCCCAGCCAGGAGAAGCAAGCCTTAAGCATATAAGATTACAGGCATCAGTAATCAGGACTGCCGTGCAAATGGCAGTTGTGATGTGGGAGCCCCAGTTCTGCAGCAGTTCACAGCCCTCCTTCTTTCCCTGGGATACAAGAAGTCCCTGGGAAAATTGCCTCTTTAAGGAAGGCCAATTCATCCAAGAGGATCCTCTTCCTGGAAGGAGAATGGGCTTCCCAAACAATTTTAGTGCTTGGCCTCCCTAACGCAAATCCAACCTTTTGGGGCTGCCAGCGATTGGGTTCATTCAAGAGGTTAAATAACAATAACGACATCTGTGGTGACAGTTACAAAAAAACCCAAAAGATTGAAAAAAAATTATGTTACCAATATTCATGAGGAAAAACAAAAACTGAACAGATTTTTTTGTTATGTTTTCATTTCGCATCTTTGCGTAGAAGAATCTTTTGCCTAGAAGAACTGGAGCTGTTATTCAAAGGGCTGCCACTCTGTTAAGCCCAGTTGGCAGGCAGTGCATCGATAGGACAAGGCTCCCACAAACAACAAAAAAAAGTCAACCAAGTGATGCTATGAGGTAAATAACCCAATAAACCTGAGCACATCACAACCACACTCCCCACTGCATTGAGCCATTCAGTGCTCTGAAGAACAATCCATGAATGCATCTCCCTCTCCACTCTACCAAAACAGAACTTTGTAACCCAAAAGACATCAGATGGTGAGAGACATCCCCACCAAGAACACACAGAGGTAGGGATTACCCATTGCCCCACTAATCCCATATTGATGCTACTGGCTAGGGGAGGGCTCAGCCCAAATCCCTTACCCTCCTGTAGCCACTGAAGGGCAGATCCACAGGCAAGGAGAAGACATTCTCCACAAACTGCTGGTAGACCTCGAAGAGACGGTTGAGCTCCTCGTCGGGGATGCGGAAGCCCAGCAGGACGCGGATGGCCATGCGGAAGGTGAGCTTCTGGGCCTCGTGGTAGACGTTGATGGGATCGGGGTTGCTGCTCCAAGCCCGCAGGGTGTCCTTGATCACCAGCTGGATCTTGGGGAGATAGCTCTCCAGAGCCTCGTGGCTGAAGATTTTGGAGAAAACCTACAGAAGAATGAGCAGAGGATTCTATGGAGCCCCAACATCCTTCTCTTTGCCTTCTCTAATAGCCCACTTCTGCCCATAGAAATGAACATCGCAGATCCCCCATGCTAGGCAGATTTAGCATCATCCGGTATTTATCATCCAGAGTCACCAGTTTCTAAAATAGCTGCCAAGAAGGGCTGATGAGGATCCTCCATGGGCAATCCTCCCTAGGCTGATCCTCATCAGCAGCAACAATATGGATCCCCACAGTCTCCCTCCAGCAGCGAGCTGAGGATGGGAGGATGGAGACCACACAGAGGGTGGTGAAGCACTGGAACAGGTTGCCCAAGGAGGCTGTGGATGCCCCATCCCTGGAGGCATTCAAGGCCACGCTGCATGCAGCTCTGGGCAGTCTGGTCTGGTGATTGGCAACCCTGCACACAGCAGGGGGTTGAAACCAGATGATCATTGTAGTCCTTTTCAACCCAGGCCATCCTATGATTCTGTGATATGAAATAGTGCACCCTACACACAGCAAGATGGAAGGAGATGGAAGGAGAACTTTCAGTAGCTCCACACATCTCAGTTCCCAGCTCCATCTATCCCATGAACTGGATGCTACAAATGGAGCTCTTCCATGCGGATTCTAATTGTTGGGTTGTGCACAAGCGCACACAAAGGTTTTCATAGAATCATAGACCGGCTGGGTTGGACAGGAGCTTAAAGATAATCCAGTTCTAACCACTTCATAGAACCACAGAATGGCCTGTGTTGAAAAGGACCACAATGCTCATCCGGTTTCAACCCCCTGCTGTGTGCAGGGTCACCAACCAGCAGACCAGGCTGCCCAGAGCCACATCCAGCCTGGCCCTGAATGCCTCCAGGGATGGGGCATCCAAAACCTCCTTGGGCAACCTGTTCCACGTGCTGCGGGCTGGTTGGCCCCTCACCAGCTCAAGTCGCCCAGGGCCCATCCAACCTGGCCTTGAACACCTCCATGAATGGGGGAATTCCTTCAAGGCCTTTAGGACCTCTTCAAAACCTGGCTGAACTTTGGGGAGAAGAGGCACGCATGCAGAGGTTGCGATCGCACAAGGCTCATTTCCTTGGGAAGCCGGGCTAAAAACTGATGTCAGCAGACACTATTAATTTAAGCTCTGCAAGTAAACACAGCTCAGGAGCGAGCCTCCCCAGGCCCCCATGCTAACGGCTCCTTCCTCCAATTTGGGCCCGAGCCCGCGTGTTGCGCGAGGAGCTGAGAAATGCCAGGAATGTCCCCCGTTCCCCCCCCCTCCATCAGCGCAGCCCCACAGCACGCGCTTTCATTCGGCATCCCCGCCGCATCCCTCCCAGAGTGCACCGGAGGAAAAAGTGCTGTTTGTTTATTTTTTATTAACCTCCCCACACGGCGGGCTTGCACGCACGCACCGCCGCATGCATGCCAGGCCTCCGGGAGAAATCAAATGAAAGCCAGCTCCCCAGGAGCGAGCCGAGAGCCTTCACTGGTGGCCGGGTTCCTGAGGGGGGCTGCAAAGTTATCAAACCCAGGAGAAAAGGAGAAAAACCAAAGCCTCCCCCTCTCTTTCCATGAGCGCTGAAGCTGTAAATGTGAGAATTTCCTCCGCAGTCAGCACTCAAAAGGGAAAGGTAACATTTTCCTGGCGGCGACCCCTCCGTTGCTCAAGCGCGGCGTTCAGCTGGGAGGTTGTTTGGTGAAATAACACCCTTGTCCCCTAGCAGGGAAGGTGGGAGGATCGACAATTGCTGCTTCATAACTTACTGCCTGAGCTGAGACTCTTCATCACAGAATGGCCTGGGTTGAAAAGGATCACAATGCTCATCTAGTTTCATCACCCTCCTATCTGCAGGGTCGCCAAGCACCAGACCAGGCTGCCCAGAGCCACATCCAGCCTGGCCTTGAATGCCTCCAGGGCTGAGACCTGGGTAGAACTCATCACACCCCACATGTAGGGGCAGGAATAGCAGCATGTACGTGGGAGGAGGGCTGGGAAGGAGAGAGAAGACATGAGGGGATAAAGAAGATGCAAGAGGACAAGCAGACAGATGTGCCTGCAGACAGACAGCCGTCCCGCTTGTCTATGAAGGAATGAATGAATGGAGCCAGGAAATGAATGAACCACGGGGAGGGCTGAATGAACGAGCCATGGAGTGACCATGAAGAGGGTGAGAGATGATTTGGCTGCCACTTTTGGTGCTCATCTGCACTTCAGTGCCCCTCTGCACTTCCAGAGCTATTTTTAAGCCTAGAAGGAGCAGTGATACTCAGGCAGAGCTGACAGTGCGTGTGCACTGAGGTGGGAGAAGGCAACTCCCAATCTGGTGCAAACCCCATCCTTCCTCATCCCTGCCCAGCATCTCTCCTAGCAAGGGACGAACCCCACAGTCCCAGGAACACCTTTGGTCCTGTTGTGCCAAATCATCCCAAAGACCAACAGCAGAGGAGGAAACCCTCAAAGAGAGAAAAGGAGCCCCTGCCGAAGGGTCAGCAGCCTGAAAACAGCGAGCATTTAGAATTGGTGAGTTTGGGTCTTTTTCCTTTGCCTTTTTTTTTTTTCTTTGAGCTGTCCTTTTGCTATGGGGCTGCTCCGGTCCCGTCCGGCTGCAAACCTGGCGTCGCTGCGCTCCACGCTGCCTAATCCCAGATGTCAGCAGATCCTTCCCCAGCCAGACACAAGTCTGGATCCCCTTCCAGTCACCTCCAGTTCAACCCTGCATCTTTCCAGTTGATTAAAAAGGAGGAAAAGGCAGCCAGCTTTCCCTGACAGCCGTCGCAGCGCTTCTAGCCTAAAATCCCTGCGCCCTCTAGTGAAGCCCAACCAAGGAACAGCGCTGCAAAAAGTTCCTCCCGAGCAGCCAAGAAGCAAAAAAACAGCACTAAGTGAGGATACCTATAAAAAAGACGGGGTCGGTAGCATCTGCTGGAGATGCTAAGAGGAGCCCTCGTGTTTTGCACATCTTTGGTACGGCCACAAAAAGCCGCCCTTGGGGGATTCTGTTTGCTGTGGGGGTAACGCTCACACCCACCCACATTTGCCCAGGGAGACCCCAGCTCTCAGCTGGAAACTTCCGAATCCGTCTCACAGTGCAAACAGGATATTTAAAGATTTATGGCTTTCCTAAGGCAGAAAATTCCTTCCCGGTGCCTCAGCTCCGCCATCCCCTGCAGAGGTGGCAGCAAGCAGCCCCTGGTCCTGCATGGAAAATACCCCATCCTTAAACCCTACCAAAGAGGAGGGGACATTCAAGTGAAACTTAGAAAAAGACTCACTCAGCAGCTAGGATGAAGAATAATTAGCAGGAATGATGCTCAGCACTGGCCAAGCCTTCCCATCCAAGCACAACCATCATAACAAAGAGGAAAAGAGTTTTTCATTCTTCCCCTCCAGGAAGAGAATTTGGGATCTGACATCTCATCCAGCCTGGCTGCTCAGAGCTGCTACCCAGCAGAATGAAGGCATGATTGGCACAGAGATGCTTTTACAACCAATTGGCTACCCACAGGGCTTGGTGTGTGTTAGGAAAGCATCCCAAGCAATGTCCCAACACAGACCATGCTCTCTCTCTCTCTATATCTCAGATTGGATGTTAGGAAATGTTTCTCCTCCCATAGAGTGGGCAGGCACTGGTGCACAGGCTGCCCATAGAGGCTGTAGATGCTCCATTCCTGGAGGTGTTCAAGGCCAGGTTGGATGGGGCGCTGGGCAGCCTGGTCTAGTATTAGATATAGAGGTTGGTTGCCCTGCCTGTGACAGGGAGGCTGAAACTTGATGATCCTTGGAGTCCATTCCAGTCCAAGCCATTCTGTGATACTATGATCCCTCCACATGTTAAGATAAGGGGAAGAAGCATGTCCAGCCAAATGCAGGATATCTCTTGCCCCTGCCATTTTCCTGCCATCCTCCCATCATGGGAGAAACCTGCGCTCATTTAGAGGGAAAAGCCACATTTTTCAGCTCCTGCCCTCTGAAATGAGCAGCACTCCATAATGCACAGACAGAAAAGAAGCAAGACAACGTAGATCTATCTCAGCATCCCATCTGCCTCACCTCAAAATAATAATAATCCCAATGTCAGCACCAGCAGAATGCAAACAGTTACACTCAGCAACTGAGGCTGTCTGACCCTCATTATGGGGTTACCTAAACATGCTGTGGTTCTTCAGCACCTATGAGCCCACATCACCCCCTTTTCTGGTCCATACCCATTCATTCATGGGGAAGCAGTGTATCTGGGGACAGCAAAAAAAATCACTTCATACACTGTCACCACTCCTCAAATTGGAAACTGAACACAAGGAGGGAGGGAGAGAGAGAAGATATCAGTGGAGAGTCTGGCAAAAAACTGAGCTGGGAGGGAAGCACCTGCCCCATGATATAGCCCACTCCATCCCAAAGAAATAAATGTGACTTTACAAGCATGCTTTGGCATGGCAGCAATAGGGGAAGACGCTTGGAAAAGCCCTTCCTCCAGCTGCAGGGAAATCTCAGCTCTGCCACCAAAATCCTGAGGATGCCTTTGCGAGATTTTAATGCATCATACCAGGATGAGAATACACAGAATTAACTATGGTCGGCCAATGCTCAAAGACCAACCCCAACTCATCCCACCATGCTCACTGACCACGTCCCTCAGTGCCACATCTCCGTGGCTCTGAAGCATCTCCAGGGATGGTGACTCTATCATTCCCTTGGGCAGCTGTGCCAATGGCTGACTGTTCTTTGGAAGAACAATGTCTTAATACCCAACAAGAACCTCACCCAGCACAACTTACAGCCATCACATCTCATCCTGCAGGCCACCTGTGAGGATTCTTCTGGCTTCAGACCGAACCCAAAGAGATGACAGAGCCTCAGGTGGCATTGGGGCTGCATCGCATTCAGCCTCAGCACAGCATCTCGGAGCAGGGTTGGAGCACTCAGGACATTTGTATTTCAGCCAGGAGCGCCTGCACTTTGCTTTTTTTTCTTTTTTTTTTTTAATCCATTGGAATGACTCTGGATTTACACCGCTGTAGATGACAGCACTATTTGGTCTAAAGTCAATGAGCCAACCTAGCCGACAAATTCTTCCCCAACCGGAGCCCTTCAACATCAATGAGAGCCTTTTTCTCTGGCCCCGGCGCCTTTTGCCCGTGGGTTACAGCTCTCAGGGCAGCAGCCCGTGATGGAGAGAAGGGGCTCGATGCCAACGTGCTGAGAGGACGCCTGATCCAGCTGGACCCCAGCCCACAGATCTGACCCGATGGGCGATATGGGTGGGCTGGGCTGGAAAGAGGACGGCTCCGATTCCTACTGGGGAGGGTGGCGAGGTGGGGTGGGGGGATGCCAAAAAGTAATCAACGTCTCTTAACAGCACGGGTGAGGGGGTTTGGCAGCAGGGAAGCAGCGCCCGCTGCTCCCATCCCTCCTTCCTCCACCCTCCCTCCCTCCCCCCAGCTCTGCCCACAGCAGCTGGTTTATATTTGGTTGTAAATTTATGGCCCCTTTTGTGTTCTTAATCCTCTCGCAAACTATATTAAAGCCTCAGACCTTTCTACTTGGTGCTAATAAGCTCAACACTTGTATGCCTCCGAGGCAGAACATTAATTGTGGTGTGTTAATGAATGATGTAGTTTTGGACAGTGAGACAAAACAGGCCGTTTCTCTGCACCACTGTCTGCTTCCTCCTCGAGTCTCTGGGTCTGGGACGTCTACCCAGCCCACGGACTCCTTTTATTTTATTCTGTCTTTTCCTTTTTTTAAGCCAGCCGGGCCTATTTTGGGATTACGATGCTGGAACACAGCACGAATCTGGCCAGGCCAGAGCTCGCCTGCCAAGTCTGAGTGCTCCCAAGGAACATCAGCATCCCACCTTCCCCTGCCCTGCTGCACTGCCAGCATTGGGAGACTCCTTCCCTTGCCCTAAAGCTGCCCATTCCCAGTTCCCATTCCCTTCTGCATTCAGATGCTGTGCAGCATCACAGGAGCACCTCATGTCAGCTTCCCCACAACCTCCCAACATCCATTCCATCCTCAAATGGTTGGGAGGGACGTAAAGATCATAAAGTAGCCAGAGTTAGATGGGACCTGTAAGGATCATCAAGTTTCAGCTCCTGCTGTGCACAGGGCAGCCACAAATCCCAATCCCAGGGTTGCCTTAAATCTCATAAAGCCAGAATGCATGCTACCCTTTGCACAGTTTGCCTTGCCTTTGCTGCAGGTCATGGAGACCCAAGGATCCACACTTCCAAAACACACGTAAGGCCAAAAAGCAAAGCACGCTGATCGGGGTTTTGTGAATAGGAACTGAGGGCATCCATGGGGAAAGATGTGGACTGAGTGTGAGCAGCCACGTTGGGACAGGGTCCCACCCAGGTTCAGACAGCAGAGATGGCATGGCTCTGCCACCAAAAAGAGCAGGATGGGAGAGAACCAAGGCACTATCCCCAGTCACCCATCCTCTATAGGTCCCTATAGAACAGCAGCTTCCTCCCTCTGGACCACCCTCATCAGGGATGATGCGCATCCTTCCCCCTATGGCATCCACAATAGAATCCTAGAATGGCCTGGGATGAAAAGGACCACAATGATCATCTAGTTTCAACCCCCTGCTATGTGCAGGGTTGCCACAACCAGACCAGGTTGCCCAGACACACATCCAGACTGGCTTTGAATGCCTCCAGGGATGGGGCACCACCTCCAAGCCACAGCCATGCTCAGCCATATGGCTGCTCCTCCCCACAAGGTGATCTGGGGACAAAAGTGCCATGGCGAAAGAACAAACTGCCCTCACTGCAGCACGGGTGGCCCCAATCCACCTCCAGCATCATCAGCTCCGTGTCCCACAGTGGGGTAACAACCCCCCAGCAGACATCTATCTCAAAAGGGAGGCTGAAAGGTTTGGGGTTGCTTTGTTTTATTGCTTGTAAACTGTTCTTATCGAGCAGCTTCATCTGGAGCCAAGCACAGAGCCAGCACTAACGACATCTGCAATAAAGGCCGTGATGCATGCAAGCCCTGCTGCCCACTCCACAAGCCATCATCTCCCTATCTCTATCCCTGCTCCAGTGACACTTGGAGAACCCATATATCCCAAAATAAAAGCTTTCTCCAGTTTGTTTTAACTTGAACAGCTTCCTGGAGGGCAGAAGTAATACATAGAGGACGGGAGAGCAGAGTTGCCATAGGTATAATCTGGTTAATATGGCTCTGCTCCTCCTGAGCACCTATTGAGGAGCTTGTCTTCTTGTCTCAATGGCAATCTGTCCCAGCAAGAGGAGAGCTCAGCTGGATGGCCAACGAATGATGAAGGAACATCTGGGCTCTGAACCTTTGAGCATTTCCCCTTGATAACAGCATCCTTACTGAGGGCTTCTGCCTACAGGTTTTGCTCAGCTCCCTGCAAGAAAGTGCAGAGCAGGAACCCAAGAGAGCAACCTACAAGGAAGCAGCAAGCTGAAATGCCAAATGTGGTGCTTCCTCCTCACAGCTGGGACAGCGAGAGCTGAATTAGCAGCCAATTAACAGCAGTAGAAGCTCAGGGCTAACGAACTCAAAAAAGTGCTGCTGATTTCTGTTGTTTGGAGGCACCTGGCCTGGAAAAGAAATTTGAATCTGTCACATTGCCATCTGACTGGGAGCAAAGAGAGATGTTTTCTTCCTGTTAGAAGCTGGTTTGCCCTATCTCTGGATGCACATCTCAGCCCAGGGTAAGGGGTGGTTGGCACAGGGGAAAGGGTGCGGATGCTCAGTACCATGACAGCAATAACGCAGAGGGGACCAAGTAGAGGAATGGGAGTAATATCTCACTTTGCAAGGAAAGTGAAGCAACCAACTGAGCCCATCACACCAACCCCGTGCTGCTGGATGCTCAACATCTGCTTAACAGCATCCCCAGCCCTATAGAGCGTTTGCTTTCTAGTACAGAGCTCAAAGTGGCTCCCATGTCCCTGCACACCCTCCCTGCCATCCCCAATGCTCTGTGATGGAAGCAGCCCGTGCACCTTGCCCTTTATTTTGGACAGGGATGTTGGGAAGGATTTCTCCTCTTGTAAGACACAAAGAAGCAGCCTAAGGAGTTGTGCGATCACAGGCACCGAGTGGAGGCACTTCAGCATCACGTTAAGAAATGTGACAAATAGGGACCTCCAGTAGCTGTTATCTCACTCTCTCCCCCAGGGAAAAGAGAAGTGAATGGGTTGGGCTTTTGTAGAAATACATATGATGAAATAGGAAATCCTGCTGGGGCACAGAGAGGAGTTTGCATTGGGGTAAAGATAGCATTGAGGCTCTGGGTGCAGCCGTGTCTTCCCAGTGCTTCAACACCACCACCCCCAAATTAACCCCTGGCCCCCACCCAATCGGGAAACGGTCTCAACAAACCACGACAGGGACATGAAAGCTGCCACACCACACTGTCCTCTCTGCCTTTTCCTGCAGGATTTATATCTGGGGGGGTGGGAGGAGGGGGGAACAGGGAGGTGATGTTGATTCCCCACATCCACATGGTCTCACAGCCCCCCAAAACCTGGTTGATCCCACTCTTGTGGGTTACAGCCTGACACCAGAAGCATCAAAGAGGGATTCGAGGTGAGCCCCCAGGAGGGACTGACCTCTCCCAGCCACCACACTTCACCCCCAGACCCCCATCAATGCCCTAAAACCCACTGCAACGCTCAGCACCACGAGAACCAACCCCAGCGAGAATGCATTCTGCACACAATACCCCTCCAGCACAGCCTGGTTACACCGGAGCTGCGTTCCTGTGCCCCGCACCGCGAGAGCCGCACCGCGGTGGGCCCCCCACAGTGGGCGCATCGCCCTTTTAAGAGCGCTCCGTGCCGGCTCTCGGCCTCCAACCCACTCCACGCGTGTCACGCCCGCGGGTTGGCTCGGAGGCGACAAGCGGCTAGCGATCACACAGTCAACCCTCCTTCCGAAGCATTAAAACGAGGGGAAACCCCCTTGTGCCACCTCCCTCCCCGATCACCCTTTTTCTTGACCATCGCCCTTTTAAATTCCTCAAAGGCTCCGAGCACGCACGCGGGGTGGGGGGGAACCCACGCGGGACCTCACACGCCAGTGGGTCGGATGGGAGAGAGGAGAAGAGAGCGGAGAGAGGAAGAAGGGAACGCAATGCCCCCCCCCCGACCCCCGTTCTAAGTCCCCTCCGCGAGCACCCACGCACCCCGCGGTCACGCGTGGGGACTTCCTCACCTTCCTCTTGTGCCGATGGATGTCCCCGATGGAATTGGCCACGGTGTTGGGTCCCAACAGCATACGGGTGCTGCGAGGCCATTCGGTGCTCACCAGGTGATGTTCCCCCATCAGAATCTTCCGCACGTTCTCCGCTCCCGTCACCCTCACCAGCGGCCGCCCCAAAAGGTGCGTCTTGAACACGTTGCCGTATTTTTCTCGTCGCGAAGACTGGAAGCACGAACCCTGCGGGATGCGTGGGGATTGGGGGACCAGTGGGGGGGGGGGGGGGGGGGGGAA